GATTGCAATCCTGCAAACTCTCCCACAGTGATTATCCCCGTTTTCAGACTCAGCCCCACGAGCAGCTTTGGACACTGTCACTCAGGGCAGCTGCTAAGCCACAGTCAATGGGAGTCCTCGAGCCCCTGTGCAGGTGGCTCTGGGCTATCCCGCAAGGAGCAAACTCTTGACGCGTTTCTGTCACCCCATTCGGAGCCTGTCTTAGGCTGAAGACAACATTTTTCCCCACGAGGAAATTTCTGGAATGTTCCATCCCCTGCAGAGCTACTACTACGTGGAAGTAGGGCCTGCACCTCATATTTTTGATCGGATCTCACTCAGGCAATTACATTTCCCCCCTATTTCAGAAAGCCTCAGGAACAAGCTCTAAACCACAGCAATTTCACTACTGTACAAAGCTAGCAGGTGTAAGGTTAGTGGCTTGTTTTTGTGTTACATTTTCACTAAACAGGGCTAAAGCTATCCACTCCCCTTATTTTTCTTACAAGGGGTTCATTCGAAAATGATGGAAAATGACCACTCCAACATGTTAATGAGAAAAATTGGCCATCAGCATAACTTGTCTTGGTGTCAACAGACACCACAGCACTGAGAACAGCAGCTGTTACCAAGGCAAACAGCTGAAATAAAAGAGGAGAAAGGGGGCCTGCAAATAACCGCCTTTGCTAGTCCAAATGGCTCTTAATACTCTTTGTGTAAAGATACACTGTTGTTAACATCTGCTCAAAGTTAATCTAAAGAGTTGTTTGCAAATAGCAAAGCGGGTAAGCAGCTGCTGCTTTACGAAAGATGAACTTTTGTGGGCATATAACATGCCATTTTTTGTATTCCCAGCAGCGCTCATGAACACCACCCTATACAGAAAAGAAATGAATGGACTTTGTGAAGGACACTTTAGTTGAAATTGGATAGGATTATACAGCAGCGTTGCCAGACACCATAACAATTTAAGAGTCTAGTTCAGAAATATTCTAGACCCTGAGGGTCTCAGTGGTCTATGAAAGGTGACAAAGAAAAGCAAACCAATTGCCAGGAACTTGGATTGATAACATACAGGTATGTATGTCAGTAGGGGTCAAAACTAATCAAAAAAGAAAGTTTTTAGGACTATTTCTCTAGTCTGGTATTAAAACTGCTCTTTAGACCAGCCTGTTTGGGTACAGCACAGATCCCATCTCCCTGGCATGCAGAGAAAGCAATAGGTGCACAGCATTTTCTGCACTTCCAGTCCATTCGTGTGCTTTCTCTCTCTTGTTGGAGTTTCCCTGAGCCACTCTTCCCATGAAGAATTTCATATCACTTGAATATTTGTTTGATTTCAATCCGGCAAAAGAAGACAAAAGCCAGAGATGAAACAGAACCCCTCTTTACAGGCAATCTTTGTGTTCCTCCTAGTCAGTGAGACTTGTCTGTCTTTTCCTTGCTCTTCTGCTTCAACTGGGGATTGCCCTCCTGGCTGTCTCTGTGCCGTGAGATGGTAGACCTACAGTGGAGCAGTTGGTCCTGGCGTGTACTTTAGCAACCCTTTCTCCTTTGATTTGTCCTCAGATTTTGCCTGGCCTAATTGATGACTGAAATGCATTGCAGTTTCCAGAACGGAACGGATTTTCAAGCCCTGGCCACAGATATTCAGACATAATTGAAAACACCATGATGCTCTGTTAACTTGTATAGCCATAACTCAGGTCATAGGCCAGAAAAGAATTTGTCATGCAGGAGAAAAGTTTCCAACAAAGGTTCATTCCATCTCTTATTTCCATGAATGATCCCACAAAATTGAGAGAAAAAGGAGGCTGACTGAACCCCAGGTGTCTCCCGAGAGCTTGTGACAGCTCCTCTGTAGTTACTAGGCCTAAATCAAAGTCTTTTAAATTCAGTGGAGATAGCCATTGACTTTAGTGAATTTTGGACCAGGCTTGTAAGAAAAGAGGAGGCAGATGGGCAGCATGAGTGTTTCCTACTGTTACTACTCAAAAGACTAGAATGTCTTCACTTCTCAGATCAAGTCTGAGGTTTCTATCTAGACTTAGCTACTCTTCAGTGAGTACTGCTCTAGAAGGCAGAGATGCTTCTAGTTGCCCAGATCCTTTCCCACCTCTTCCCTTTCTTGAAAAGTAAATAAGACATTCTCCAGTCATACAGAACTGAGTCCAAATTTGACTGACATATTTAAAATCCCTGCTTTTTGTTTGTGCTTTCACCAGGTAGTTTTTTCAAAATCCTGCGAGGAAGATCATCCACTTCCACAATTAAATCTCTCTGAGTTTTGCCTCCACCTTGCTTACATACACATTTCCATACTTTTGCTCCCATTTGGGAAACCCTTCTTTGGCACACAGCTCAGCAGCATCATTTGAATCTAGAGTCTACTACGTGGATCTGTGATGGCACCCACTTTGACAGCTCAAGCAAAGAGACTGGCAGAGTGACCCATGATCCCATGGTATATGCAAGATATACAGCTAACTCCTGCATCTATTTTATGTAAGCATCTTTGCAGCCTTAGCAGAATTTAATTGGTGTTAATTCCAAAATAACATCCACTGCTTCTGCTTCTAGGTAACAATTACTCCTCAAACAGTAAGTTTTTCACATACAAGTTTCTGGAATATCACAGCAGTGTATTTATGCAGACGGAAGCAATAAGGTATGTTTGGGAAGTCAGATGCCCAACTTTTTATCTGAAACCACAAATTATAAACCACAACACTATCTCCTCCCACAAAGCATACAAAATTCTGCAGTGTGAACAGTGAGTGCCATTTCAGAGTATCTGAGTGTTTAAAAAAAAAAAAAACCCTGCAAATGCAATGTTCATAACTCTGGATAACCAGGACATAGTGGATTCAGTTGCTATGGTTGCAGGCAACAGATAGGAAAGATATCTATTGGGCCTCAGGCAGCAACAGCTGATTGTGCCACTAAATCCACTTACATTAACTCTTTTCACTATACTGCTTCACAGTTGTGCTGGCTCTGCTGCAGGTAACATTACTGGCAATAGCAGAAGCAGGAAGGCAAACACTGAAAGTTGGCGGCCCAGTGGAAAAGTTGTCCCCAGACTAAAATAATATAACTACCTATTAAGTATGTAGGCAGAACAGCTCAGTGTTAGATGCATTCATGCAACAATGAAATGTCTCTAAGAGCAGTCCACATCAGCATCTAATTATGGTATATCTTTGACAATCAGTTCTCCTCATTTGTTTACATTTGTTCAAAAAGATTTAATAGCATGGAAGAGAGCTCATTGCCTTAAGAGATCTTCTATCCTTTAAGAAACAAACTGTGCCACTGCATTAGTTTCATTTATCACCTCAGTACCAGTGATTCAACCAGAGTCTGTTTTGTGCAGTGTAGTTTTAATGTCACTGATGTGTCAAATAGTCTTGCAGGGTATTCATCACTGAAGTATGCAATAAACATCTCCCTCAAATGCAACGGTAACTTGCATGCCCATGGCTCACATGCCATGAGAGAAGGATGTATATTAAGATGTCAACTAATTTTATTATTACTCTTTCTGTGTTACTTTAATTAGGGGCATACTGACAAAGAGGTTTGAATGCAGTTACTTACTCAAATGTTCCCACTTTTTTTTTTTTTTTAATGTCTGAAAAGTAAAAAGATAGTATGTGCACCTCAGCCCCTTTCCCATTGTCAGTCTGGGATCATAGGCCAGAACTATTTTACTCTTTAAAACATACCTATCATTTTCACTCTTGTGAAAACCATATGAACCATGTGGATGCTTTGGTGTTTCAGCTCAGTGGAAAGCAGAAAAGGGTGGCATCATAAAGGGTGGAGAATATCCTCTGAGTCCAGCTAAGCAATGTCATTTTCCAGTTACTGATTACTGATGCATTTTTAACCGGCTGTATCTCTTAACAAAGGTAGCCAATTAGAGAAGCTGTGCTTCCCCTAAGTGCCTGTCATTTTTCCATTGTGTCTTCCCACCTAATATGTGCTAGTGCAATGCATAACCCCTGTATAGCTAGCTAAATTCATCAGAACCATTCTAATTTTTCACAATGGTTCTTTTAAAATATAGCCTCTGCTCTGCTGCAGAGAAGTGCTGTCCAGATGAGCAATGCTTGGAGTCAGAGTGACACTCAGTGGCAAGACAGAAAAAGTGATTCTCAGTTTCTCAGAATCTTTCTATCTATTTGTGGGATACATGAAATCTTAATCAGATCATTATTAATGTTTTCTGTTTGTTCTATAATATGCTACAGAAGCATCATAATTCAGAGCAAAACAGGTACTTTTGATTATGCCAACTGATAGACTGGATTGCTTACTTCAGCAAGGCTCTCATAATTTGTGTGCGGCGATCTCCTGCAATTTAAAAAGAAAAAAGAACTTTAGAAAGTGAACCAGAAGCTTGAAGAGAAAAATATTCTGTATTTCAGAAATGAATGACCTGAATCACCAGTCTTGCACTCTGCTGCAATTTGAATCTTTGCAGATTGCTTGTAGAGTCTGAAGGACAGCATTTTACATTTTACATAAAATTTAGCATGTTGTATATGTATGTATGACAGTCCATATCCCTCCCAGTTTTTTGTGTTATATCAAAATAGTTTCTGTACATTTCTGAATGCACACCATGCTGTGGTTAACTCAGTTTGGTATCGGAAAAAAAAAAAAGGAGACATTTTCCCTTTCACATATGATAAGTAAGCACTGGAATAAATTATGGAATCTTTACTATTAAAGATTTTTAAGAACAGTCTTGGCAAGCATCTGCTAGAAATCTTTCAGGTAGAGTAGTTCTGCAGTGGGGTCATGGTGTGGACTGTCAGCCTTTCCAGCCTTGTTTACTTTGATTTAGAAGAAGTTTCATACTGTAACTTTGATTACGGTGCCGGCAGTTCTGAGTCTGTGACTGTCCAGAGTCTTAACTCACAGCATTCACAGACAATAAAAAATAAGAGATATTGTAATACAATCTTCCTTGAAAAACTATATTTAAAATAATTTCCATCTGTCTCACACAGGGTCCTGTTGCATCATCCATGTCTATGCGATCCGTTCTAACCAGCGGACCATGCCTTGCCCCACCACCACCACCACCACCACCGCCACCTGGACCTCCCCCCATCTTTGATACAGAAACCGCGAAGGATGAAGGAACTGCATCACGCTCAGCCCTATTTGCACAGCTTAACCAGGGAGAGGCAATTACCAAAGGTCAGGAGAAAAGAAATCAAATTGTCGTCCTTGAGTCAAACTACGACAGCAGCTGCTAAGTGTACTAATCCAAATTACACCAACATTTTTAAGTTTAGGCAACTCAGTTCTTTCCGAGGCTTGCACTGAGTCTGATGGATGAGACTGAATACCAAAACCTGCTTTAGAAACAACAGCACCCAAATATGTTCAGCATTCCTGAAATTCACACTATTTGTTTAGAGGCCTCTATTAATTTTAAGGCATCTAAGCTAGACATCTGCAACCCCCGGTGGCAGGTGAACCTTTAAATTGTAATTGCAGTCAGAATTTACCCCCCTTTCTGATTTACACTCAGTGTACAAACCTGTGTCAGTGTGTTATGTGTTTGGTGAAGAGGCATAGCTCACTTATCAGTGTGGAGTACGATAATTAAACTTTTTGCATTAAGACTAGACAGTTGAAATTAAGGTAGATGGCTGTGAGTTTAAATACATACGATTGATATATCTGCCTTTAATGCTGTGGGGAAGATGAAATACTGTCATAAATTAGACAAAGTACCTCATTTTTATGGGTGGAGCTATGAAATCAGTGGAACAGTAGTTTCCATGGAGCAATACGATACAGAAAGCTCTCAGAGCTCCCTACAAACAGAAAGTGACTAAAAGACATTGCTGCATTTCCTGTTAAAGATATTAGGATAGCCTATCTGCAGTACAAGAGCTTTTATATGAACTGCTAAAAATAGGTAGGCAGTTACCCATTAGATAGTTACCGAGGCAAATCCTGACGAAGTCAAAAATGTAAATTCATAGGATAATTTAACACTATTACAACTGGATTAGGTATTATCTTTCTTGTGTAAATATGAACATCCTTAAGACTGGAAAAAGAGTCTCTTTTTCATTAAGACCCTTTTTTTTTAGGGCTTCGACATGTCTCTGATGACCAGAAGACTCACAAGAACCCCAGCCTACGTGCCCAATGTCCAGCCATTCCTTCTCCCACAAAAAGTCATACTCCAAGTCCCACCTCTCCCAAGAGTTCCCCTCAGCAGAGCCATGCCCCTGTCTTAGAGCTAGAGGGAAAGAAATGGAGAGTGGTGAGTTCCAGTCACACCTTGGAATTGCACCCTGCACATGACAAATCAGCTTGAGTACTGAACATCTCGCAAAAGGTTGTTCATGAGCAACTTGCAACAAATCAAGGTTGCAACTAAGATGGGCTGATTCTGCATTAGTCTACTCTGCTGCAGTTTAGCTGCTACTATTCCATAAGCTCTAAAGTTAATTCATTTGTCTCTGAGAATCATATACTAATTCATCAGAACTGGAGAATGTCAGAACCAACCTATCAAGTCTTGGCAAAGTCAGACAATCCCCCAGAAGCAAATCCAGTGGAGAATTCAAATTGAAATCCCGTCTTGCAGGCCGTTCTTATGAGTGAGATGACATTATTACCACTGTGTACTTTCTCCATCTTTGTTAGCCAGTGGAACTACGTGGTTTTTTTTCATCACCAATTCCATGCAAGCACCTCTCCCATGCTTAAATGTAGCAAACCAAGGTTCCCTTCTTCTCAATCTACAGATGGGAAAGATAACATTTGTTTAAAGTTTGGGGGTTAATTTATGAGGGCATATGCCAAAGAATCTATGAGGGATAAGTCATGTGACTGCTGGTTAAAAGAGGGAGGAAACCATATGCAGTTTATTCATCCAGGAGTTTAAATAAACAGTCGTTACTGTGGAGTAAAGTGCAAGGTGCAGTCACAATTTGCCCGTTTTATGTTCCATTAGGGTTATAGCACACAGAACATTCCCTGTGGATCCCTCACCTGCCCTTGACATCAGTAGGGTATAAAGGTTCCTTCACGTTTCGTAACGAAAGGAAATTTCTTCCCCTATGACCCCTTATTGTATATGGTGATGCCCACATCTGTTCCTAATACACTGCACAGAGCATTATATAACATTTGTGGGAGCAATAACTTGTTCTGTTCTTCAAGGTGCCTGTTCTAAGTTGCATGGGAGCCAAGTGATAGTTTTGCTAATGTGGTCTTAAATAGTTGTGTGTGTAATGTCTTTGCTCCCAAATTACTGTTTTTTTGTCTTGGTCTATGCTAAGTTCTTCAATTATGCAACTCTAAAAAATATACACATATAATCACCTAAGGTTGAATTAGCTGCAACATCCAACTGCTAACCAGATTTTTAAGGCACAGGAAGAATTTTATTCTCTTTTAATTGAAGATGCAATGACTTGAAGGTAAGTTGTACTATACTCTGCCTGACTGCTGGCTAGTTAAAGATAACCAATTAAACAAACTTTCTTTTGAACTAGGAATATCAAGAGGATAAGAATGACCTGGTCATTACCAACACTGAACTCAAGCAAGTGGCCTACATTTTTAAGTGTAACAAATCTACACTTCAGATAAAAGGAAAAATCAATTCAATTACTATTGGTGAGTGGACAGCTTAGCTCGGCTGTGAATGCTAGTCGTGAAAAAACTCACGCTCTTGGTAATGCTTCTGAATAGTTCCATTCACTTTAATGGATTGATCACATGAGTAAAGTTGCTGAACTATTTGCTGTAAGATTAGGAACTTTAGTAGTTAATGTAGCAGGTGTGCATGTGTGTACATTTGCTTTTATTTTGCTTTTCTTATTTATGATTATCTTTATTTTAGACAACTGCAAAAAGTTTGGCCTTGTGTTTGACAACGTTGTGGGAATCGTGGAAGTGATCAATTCAAGGGATATTCAGATTCAGGTAAATTAAACTGTGTGAAAAACAAAGACAGAAACACAAATTAAAAAAGCGGGAAAAAAAGCCCAACATGTAGCTACAACAGGCTATTAAAAAGTTACATCAGTACACCACAAATAAGAGAATGATGCATCCAATTACATTTTTAAATGCACTAAAGTCTGCTGAAGTATTTAGAAAGTGGTTATGAAAAACTATTGAGCATCACTGAGCAAACTTCCCTTAGGACACAGTCCCTTCACTGGTTCCAGTGAAGCACACAGATCTGTACACAAAGAGAACTATTACTTCAGGTCCAAATTTCCTTGCTTTCTTGGTAAACAGCTCCAAGCACTTGAAGGTTGAGCAGTGCTTCATGGAACAAATCCTGGCAGTTAGCTAAGTGATTCCTAAGCCCAGAAGCCGGTTGTTTCTTCTTGTCTTGTTTTCTCACTGAAAATGTTGAAGTAGACTGTCAAATGACAACTAAATGACATGAATTGAAAGTACATGCTGAGATTTTGAAAACCTCCCTTGTCAGCAGTATGACACGTTACGTGAACAAATAGCCTAATCACTTGCCTAGAAAAGGGTCTTGAGCCTTTACTGGCTTTGCATTTGAGCACCAGCGAGCAAAGCTTCATCAGTGATCATCTTTCTTTGTGGTTCTGGTGCAATGAAAATGTGTGCATTCTTAATCCATGGCCCTCTTTTTGGGGGACGCTTGCCTGGTTCAAAATACAGTCAGATTCTGCCTGGCATTTGTAACACTTCACTCACTCCATCCCAAAGAGGTCTAGCTGTACACGCACTAATGTTGGGTTGTGTCCAACATACATGATCCAGACCCAGGTAAGGATTTTGAGATGTGTTATCTTAAGTGAAAAAGAAATGAAAGGTGAATTATATCAAAATGCCAAGAAAGGTGAGGTCATCTGCTTAAAAGGCTGTGCCCTCTGAATAACATTAGACAGTCCTGCTCCAAGCCTGAGTAGTACAGGTCACAGCCACCACAGGGAACAGTAGCAAGGTTTTCTTTGTATTTTGAACGCCATGCAAGTGAATTACATTACTACCAGCTATGTATCATCCTCTTAACAGTAACAAGCAGTTTTATTCATAATCACCAGATGTCTTTTTATGACAGAGGCACTTACAGAAAAAAATTCCAGGCCTTTATTTGGGTGGGCTTTTTTAAGTAAATAGATGATTTTTATCATTACCACTAGAACTACTCATAGAAGCTGAAAAATTCATATGTAATGAATACCAAAGCCACAGCTTGTTAATATTAAAATAAAGGGGATATATCTTTTCTAAGAATCAAAAATCTTTTGATTAAGCAGGTTCAATGAATATTGTATAAGGCTTCTGTGCCACAGAGCGAAGTGGAGTTCCACTTACAAAGAGAGTCTGGCTATAAGCTGCTTCAATCAGGCAGCTTTTGTTGGCTTTGAGCATGCCAAGTGCTGAACACCTCCATTTTCTCTGTATTTTCAGGACCTGAGCCTGTAAATTGCAAAAACATGGAATGTTAATACAACACATTTCAGTAAATTCACTCTACAGATTTTGTTAAAAATAGTTACTTTAGTTCAGTACTGCTTGGCTTTGCTTTCTCCCAGTGTTGTTGGGTTTTTTTTTCTTGCTAGACGCTTGCCTTAAACACACCCTGCTCCTGCCCTCTATTGGATGAGATCCCATTAAGGAAAAGCAAGATCAGTTTAAGATGCATTGATCCGTTACACAGGTCAGACCTCAGGATCAGTGTGGGATGCAAGAGGGCAGATCATTTTGTCTTTGTTTGCTGCTATTCCGTTAAGGAACTGAAGCTGAACTTCTTAACTTGAATCCTGACAGACACTCCTTTTTGTTAGCAACTACCTATCTATCACATGCTGTTGCTGTTTTACAGCTCAAAATAACCTCTGTCCTTTTGCTACATTGTCCAGAGTGTATTGTTGTCCCTGGTTTTTGGTATGGAGAGCAGGAGGAGAAGGAGGAATTTTTACTGACAAACAATGAGTCAGCCAGTTAGCCTTGCGGAAATTTTTTAATCTGTAGAATTGTAAACAACAGAAGATTTATTTCCCTTTCTCCCCTCAAGTAAATCTTGTGCTTGCTTTTAAAAGCAACATACAAAATACCTTTAGAGTTGTAATTAAATTGGTCTCGGTACTTTTTCAGAGCAGTAGCTTGCCTGAAGGGCATAAAACAACTTTTCCTATTGTGTCCCTGGCAGAAGTCTGAAGTCTTCAGAACATACTACAAAACACTTGTTGAGTAGCACTGTATGCTGGGATTTTTGATTTGCCCTTACTGGGTTGGAGTTGAGGTGTCTGACTTCCTGCAGTCTCACTAGTGAACAAGGTGAACACTGCTTAAACATCAGCAAGATGGTATCATTGAAATCAGAGAGAATGGGGGAGGAACTTTAGCCAAACCACATATGAGAAGCTCACGACTTCACAACTAGAACTTTGCTGTTGTTGATAGATCTTTGTTACCACTACCAAGAACTTTCACAGTGTCTAACAAATGGATAGCCTCTATCTCAAATACAAGCATCATGCAGGCAGCTGACATACAGATCAGATGGTGGTGACCAAAATTAGACCTGGCAAGCAATAAGGATTTTATTAACAGTATCTTTGTTTACATTTTAAGATTTGATATTAAGTATATTTTATTCTGCAGGTGATGGGAAAAGTGCCAACCCTTTCTATTAACAAAACGGAAGGCTGCCACATCTACCTGAGTGAGGAATCATTAGACTGTGAGATTGTGAGTGCCAAGTCATCTGAAATGAACATCCTTATCCCCCAAGACGGTGATTATGTGAGTGAGATATTTTTAAAGATTTCCTTACCCTACCCCACTAGCCTTGGTAGCTGTTAGCATTTAGACTGCTAGGGAAGTAAGAACTAACATACCATACATATTACATCATCAGAACATGACTGAAAATGATTGAATTTCTATGTACCAATAGCTCAGCTATGAGTACAGGAAGAACTTCTTTTTTCCTGGGGCATAAAGTAAATTCAAAGATTACAAATGACTTTGTTTCTTTTTATTTGGATAGATGATGGCTTCATCTCCTGTCAGTTTAGATGTTATTCTTTTAAAAATTGATACCTAAACATAATCTCCCAAAGAAACTGACTTCACACATAATATAAGAGCACTCATGCCTTAAAATGATTATGCTAAAGCTAAGATAAATATAAAGTACTACAGATCAGATGATATTTTATTTTTCAAACATGGTCCCTAAAAGTCACTTGAACAAGTGACTATTTATTTAGTTGTTCCAAATAATGGTGTGAGAGGAATTATTATAAAGTAGTACCATTATTATAAAGTAGTACCATGCCAAGGCTATTTGAAACTGGGTAGCAATACAGCTCTTTCCTGTGTGGCATTGTAAAATAGTTGCCTGGGGTAATGAAGAAGGCCTCTCTGTAATCCTGGCGTGTCTGAGCTGTCAGTGCTTCGTCAGTCATGTAGCACTAACAGTATTCCACTTGTTTTCATAAGGTATCCAGTGTTTATCTAACTGTCATTGTTGCTTCTGTTTCTTACCAGAAAGAATTTCCGGTTCCTGAACAGTTCAAGACAGCATGGGACGGATCCAAGTTGGTCACTGAACCTGCAGAGATTGTGGGTTAACTTCCTAATGCCATACAATACTTGCTGACCGTGATCAGACGACAGCCAGCATAAACAAAGCAGTAATCTAAAGAACTAGAAGTAGCAGTAGTTCATACTGCTGTGATAGGCCTTCAAGCAGTAGCTCTGCATGCTAGAAACAATAACACATCTGGCACGCTTTTGCTAGGCATCCCAGTATTATTCAAGTTTCCACAAAGTTTGCCTTCACTTTACAGTTTTGAGTCTAAATAATGTCATGTGAATGTAACACCCCCCACCCTCCTGTTCATTGGCTTGAAATACTGTATACATTAGGCCAAAATACTGCATGATACATTTTGTTATCATCTTGCTTCAGTGCATTCTCTTTTATATTTCTGCTAGTCAAAAACAGTATTAAGACTCTAAGATGTTTATTTTTACCTTTAGGCAATTCCTGTATGAAGCAGCAAAAATGTACCCTTAGAAAGTGTGCAATTCCTTGTAGTTCTGTGGCAATCACAATGGATTTTGTTTCAAACAAGCAAAAAAGGACAACTTTCAGCAATACGTTTTGCTAATGGAAAAAAAATCCAATATTTTAATCAAACATTTTTCTAATTTCTATATTTAGAAGATCCCTATGTTTTCAGTGAGATAAGATTTTATTATGGTCTACACAGACTTGCTGTTGCCCTCCTATTTCTTGTAAATTAGTAATTCTTTTTAAGTTAAAACCTTACCTAGGCCAAAACCTTGCAGCAAATCATTTGGATTTCTTTTTTTTTTTCTTTTTTTTCTTTTTTGGAGAAAAGCTCTCACTTGCTAAAATTTCACACTGTACCTTGCATCCTATTAAGAAAATTGAGAGTGGGTTACTTTGATTTGGGGTACACATCATCTGGTTTCCATGCTAATGTTGTTCCTTTAAGATATTGCTATTGTAGCTCTTATTCATTAAAGGTATCTTTCTGTTTCTCTCCTACATTTGTAAGACTCACTCAACTTCAAGTATGTCCATGAAGCAAAGTCATAGATTTATTTCATATTAATTCTGAGCCCAAAATAAAGGGGTAATTTCTTGTTTAGCCTTTTGATTCTACTTTACAGTCTCTATTGTACATGCTTTTTTAACAAAGGTGGAGTGTTGTATACATTTGTACTATTTCAGCACATAGTACTAATAAAATTTTAAAAATTTAAAAAGCCAGTATATGTTTGTGATCACTTGTAATACTTTGTATCAGTGCAATCACAGCGAGATGCTTGTAGAACCAGTTACAGGCTAAACTTTGTGCCTAATTTAGCTTGAGAATACATTAATCCTTGAGGATTTTTAACTATCTTCGACTGTAATCCCTATACAGTACAACAATCAGTAGTGCTCATTCAGTAACGTTTTGCTATCTGATATTTTATCTATATGTATAATGTGGTTGCTTTAGTACATACCATTTTTCAACAGTAAACTTCTTTTGAAATAAAAAGGAAAATGTACCTGCTTAAATACAAAGGTGTTCAGAGCTTCCTCCATTGCAGCATTTCAGTTCTGTTTGCTTTCTTCTTAAAAACTATTTCAAAAGCTTGAGTGAGAAAAAGTAACAACTCCTTCATTTCATTAAACATTATCACTTTTGCTGCTATAATCCACCTGACAGTGAATAGTGGGATAATTCTGCATGCTGACAGATAGACTTGCAGTTTCATGCCTGTCACCTCATTGGTAGGCACAGAATTCAGCTTCTCATGTTTCTCATTTTTAGAAACATCTGTATCTTCCAAAGATCATGTCTAGAGAGAGGGTCACGCCTTGGTGCAAGTTTATGAGGTTTGCCTTCTTTTCTTAGCTTTTCCCATTGTTTCCCTATATAGCTTTGGACGTGTCCCTCCTTGCGTTACCATACTCCACAGTAAGTAGTCCATTCCATATTTCACCGGGATGGGTTTCCTATCTGAAAAATGGGCATCACATACATGTCATGACAGAAGCATTCTTGAAGGACTGTTTAATCCTGAACCTGATCATAATTTGTTCCCTTAAAAAATCACATTCTGGAACATTCTGACCTGAGATCCTGGCTCCTGTTTTTATCCTGCATCAAATAAGGATCATGTCATTATGCAGCAACAGGAAGCCACATAAATACAGAACAAGTATCAAATGCCTGATAAACAGAAAGCAGCTAGACAGCTCTGACTTATTATACAGACAAATTCCCTTTGCTCCTCCCAAGGATTAAACTCCCCCCTCAAAAAACCAGACTGTGTGAAAGCTGGCCTGCTTGCATGATTCTTATTGTTAACCAGTTGAAGGCGGTCCCCCTTGCAGCTATATACCTTCTCGCTGTCACTGATGTTCCTGCAACACACAAAACCCTGCACTTTTTTCACTCGTTTCCTAACAGGAAGAAGGGTTAGGCAGTAACACTGCACGTGTGCCACTCTGAACACTCTAGGAACTTTGTCAGAGAGCAGAGGTTGAAAAGATAAGGAAGAAGGCCTTGTGTGGAGAGACCCAAGGTAATTGCTTCAGCTGGAGAACAGCTAATGAGTTCACACATTATTAAACACCAGAAATCTGAAACAGGAGAGAGGCTTTTTAAATGCCCAACCAGCTTTTATCCAGTACTCACAGTCAGCCTCATGACACAAATCTACAACCAACTGTGGTTGGTTGTAGAGCTCTCTGATCCTCATGAAACTACTTGCCACACATTTCAAGTAGATTGGGCTGTTCTTTCACTGCAACCTGTCTTTAATTTTAAAAATATAAAGGAAGGAATATGAAACAAAATAAATCCCAGGTTCTGATTCTGCCTTACATGAATTTGTGTACAGTTCAATGTTAAAAAAAGCTTTTCTGAAAAATCAGGTATAGCATGAGTTAGAAATAATCAACAGGCTTGTCATTTTGCAGAATGATGATGTGATGAGTCACCCAAACTGTGATCAATTATGTCCACCAAGTCTTCATGAGCAAGCTTGCCCTGTGTTTAACACTCGACTCCAGCAAGGAATGACCTGCTGAATTCTGAGCAGCTCTAATGTGCTATAGATCATTTCTTTTGGCTCTGTCCTGTCACACAAGATATGCCACTTGATTCCAGCTCTGTCTTTCTGGGTCACTGCTATACTGCACTAAAAGTGTAATTACGCTCCGAATCAGTGCAACTGTTAGAACACGTGATGGTACATTTGGTGCATATATTGATATGGAACAAAAAGTATATGACGTAATTAGCCTGTTCATTTTTCTAAACCTGCATGGGTCAAATATTCATCAGTATAGATGCTATTAGCCTGCCAATAAGATATGTAATGTGTGAAAGAGAAGGAGATTTGTAACTCAGTGTCCAAAGGTAAAAAGCTTTTTTTCCGATGCAAAGCTTTAACAGATCTCATAGTTTCTTAAATGTAACCTCTGGAAAAGTATTGGCTTAGTTACTTAGAATATTGATTTCTAGAAATTAGTGGAAATTGAGCTAGTGATTCTATGAAGCCACCAGGTGGCAGAAACCTGCTGACGTGCAGGCTATCACAAGCTCTGTTGTTAATGAAAAAATGTCAGACTAGAGTATTTACAAAGGACATGTGTACATGTGTTTATCGAGAAACTGGGAAACCCCAAAAGTCATTCTTAAAACATTAAATGATTACTCTGATTTTTAAATTGTCATCTTAGTAAAAGGAAAGGGTTTGATTGGGATGAAAAGGGAAGAATAAAAAACATCTGCTTCTTGTTGTTAGTGATTAATTTGATCTTTTGTTTTTCAATATTGCTAAGCATATTTTCATTGAAAGCGCATTTCATTAAAAATATTTGACTGAACTTAAAAGTAATATCGACCAGAGCTGTTGAAGGTAAAAGGGGAAATAATTCCAAGTCTGCATTTGAAAACCGGAGATCTTTTCAGTATGTTCAGCCAAAGCAGTCATGCTCTTACTATGTTTTGAGTCCTCAGCGTATGTTGCTCTGCTTGAGTTCTTTCAGTGCTATTGTGCTATGTGCATGTTCATAAATCTCTGCTCCTCACTTCTTTCCTAGAGATCAGGCATTTGACCATCTGAAATCCTTCAGGAGTTCAACCCAGTATCCACCCTCAGTGCATTCTCCTTACATGATACACAACTGGGATCCTTCTAAAATGTGGAAGCAGCCGTCACTTTTTTTCAGAAGTATACAGCCAAAGAAGGTAATGCTTACGCAATGACACGATACATGGACAAGCAGGGCAATTATCCAGAACATGTAAGACAGATTCAGTTCGCCTGCTGGAGGCGATTCGGGCCGATTCCTGTGAAAATACTGCCCATAAGTAGCTATTACCCTCAGAAGGTGCCTGTAAACAGGTGCCTGCCATATATGAAGCTATCATTAGATAAAAATCATATATAACACTCTCCAAGGAGTGCTCTGGCTACTAGAAAACAATAATCTTGCTTCCTCTTTCTGGCTGAAATAACCATAAGCAAGCTTTCTGGGTGCAAACTTTTTAAAAGAATAAAGAACACTTTCTACCTCTTGACCACACAGAACTCAGGAGGGAACCTCTACACTCAAGCTTGCTTCTCTACGTCTTGCTGCACACCCAAAACCCTACCTGATCACTGACCACCACTGACCTGGGGGTTTCTTCTCCAAACCCCCAGGTTCCAGTTCCACCCAGCTAGTGCAGCATTAGCGGAGGCGCATACCTATTTCCTGTCTGGGTTCACTAAAGAACACACTAAGGGATTAGGTACTTGTTACAGCTTTTCCTGTCACAGTTACTCTTTTTGCCGCACTTCTGAGTAGTTTTCTAGTTACTCTTCATTCAAACCAGGTCAAAGTAAAAGGCAAATAGAAGAATCTGTATACAACTCCCAGACAGAAAGTGATGTTAAATAAGAAACCATGCTAACTCTATGTACCTTAAGATTTGGGGAGACTTCCTATGGCCTGTTGTCAAGTATGACCACTGGGATTCCATTTGCTGTATATTTTACACCTGAAGGTGCATCTGCTAGAAGGAAACCTCCTCTTGGTGGGCCATGGTAGCTTCTAGAGCCAATCTCTCCCTCAAAATCCTCAGCTGGACAAGGCAGATTAGTTTCACAGTGAAACGTTACATTTACTTAATATGGGAGGCAGTTGTGCAACTCCTCCTCACTGAAATGTGTTAAGTGTTTTACTTTCTTGTAGACGCATACATTTTTTTTTTGGCTTAAATATCAAGGTCAGTACCTGTCTGCTTGCCCTAACAAGGGGTAAAGTTCTTGTTCTTTGGTGACTTAGTGTGTACATTCCAGTAATGAAGAGTCACTTTAACCAAGGTCTGCGTTTAAACTTAATTCTGTACATGAACACACATACTTGCTACGAACGCCTAAATGGGATGAATGTATGTAGGCCACTAGTGGCTTTTGATTATGACTGGATGCAACAGCAATTGACCACTGTGGAATGACAACAAGTAGCCGATGATTAATGTCCAACAACTCTTATCCAAGGATTCTTTAAGAGGGGCCCCTATTTTTAGGGCACTTTAGTGTGAGGCAGGAGACGTGGTTTGAATGCCCCAAGCAAAGGAAGGCATTAAACTGGGATCTCATACATCCAGATGAATGTTTCAGCAGTTCCTTTAAAAACTGGTTAAGAACTTGCCTTGAAAACAAGATGCTGGGATGTGGATCAAAAATGAACCTCTGTGGCTCTGAACAGCAGCCAGAGTTAAGGCAGAACACTGCTTTATTATTTTCTACTGACTGTGAAAGGCTCCCCGCTTAATAGTGATAATTATGTTTTTCAGCACTTACCTATATATAAAGAGCTTAAGATGGGATTTTAAGTTCCCTCTAAACCTTAACTATTGCAATATCAGCTTTTAGGTGCTTAACTCCCTTTCCTGGATCTAGTTCAGAAGGTTTCTCCTCGCCCAAATCTCACTTTTGGAAGAAGAGACTAATTAGCTGTCAAAGGCATTCAACTACTTATTTTCGTCAACCGACAGAATGAACTACTTCAGACTATCTCCCTTTCTGACTGCTCACAAGAGAAAACAAGCTCAAGCAGGGAGAAATCAGTGATGCAGAAGATTATAACTACTCCCATAATGTGTGGTAACCTAGAACAGCAATGAAACAAGTCCCTTTGCTATCAAAAAGGCTAATAAAGTGTGAGTTCCAACACCACTGGCAAGCCCTGTTGTTATAGTATGTATCTCTTTATCAC